GTCAGTAGGACGAGTGGTATCCCATTGGGCCATATCGTTGACATTGTTATTGATAGGCACTTGATGTGATGCAACAAATTCGCTAAAGGAATTTTTTCAGACGGTGAGCACCCACTTTACCCGCAGCTCCAACCTTTTGTCTATTCAGGTAAAACAAGAAGTCTTTTCAGGAGACTTTAGGCAGGTACGTTTGAGTATAAAAACTCCACTATACCATATTTAGCACTTACTTTATGTGATGAAAATGGTGTCAGGCATGAATTAACTAACTAACCTTTGCACTACTAAATAAACCATTTCTTCCAACCTTACAGTACCGAACTTTATTCTTATTGTATTTCTTATATTTACAATCCTCTCAAATTTTTTTTTTATTTGTTTATTTTTCATAAGTGTGAACATAATTCAAACTGAATCGACAATACTGTTTGAAACAAACTCACTATTATGATTATTACTATTATTATTATTGTACTTAATATTTTCAATTCGTGCTTCGAATATTTTTGACGTTATATGGTAAACGTGGACATATTCCTCTGGTTAATTTTGTTTTCATTTTTAATTTTATTTATATTTTGAGTAAATGAGATGCAAGGTGTTGTGACAAATGCTGAAAATTCCATTCTGTATTATAAGTACTGTTTTTGGAATAAAGTAGATTATTATTATCACTATTATTATGAAGCAGTAACCTACATTTGCTGGAAATAATGTTTCTGCAGGTCCTACTATGCAAGAAAGGTCTTTGTGTTGGGCAGCGGCTAGACATATAGCAATTACCACTATAGCATGAATCGTTTACCCTATATGTTGGAGGGTCTGTAGGCGAAGTCATACTGCTAGCGAACAAAGATATAACAGCAGTATGGTGACTCCCTCAGATCACCAGCAAGCCAGCTATGCTGCCTGTCCAATCTGGGGAGGAGATTGTTAAATGTTGAGCCCGATTCAGTTGGCGAAGTCAGATTGATCGTCGACAAAACCTCAGCACGAACACAGACAGCATTTGCCAACTTACACCATCTCTGGTGTACACGTTATGTCCAGTTAGTTGTTGATCAGAGGACATGTGTACTGCATATCAGCAATTCGCTCAGCCCTCCTTTATGGCCGTGAAACATGGCCACTGAAATATGTGTAAAACTTGGGCACTGTGGTAGTCTGTCTGTCTGTTTTCGACATAGAACTTTGCACATATGTGCTCCAGTTCAAGTCGCCACACTCCGTGTAGCACGCGAAGCAAGAGAAGAAAGTACAAGAAAAGCGTAATAGAGACAGTGAGCAGAGGTGTGAGACAAAGGAATAGTAGTAACGAAGAACAAAACAGTTTCATTGGAATCATAAGTCACAAGGAGTGGATGCATCTGCGCTAGCCACTGAGAACGATTTTGAGCCATGTCACCAATTGTTTCCAACCATAGATTTTTACTGTCCCGAGGACCCCAGCCTGGAAGTCTACACCTTCCTACGTAGCTTAGACCAACTGTTGTGGATTTCATTGACTGGTGAGGCCAAGTTTTTGTTTGACTGCCGCTAGCTTTTTTCCAGCCTGACCCTATATCCGCAAACATTGCTTGTCGAGGGAGGCGATGGCTTGGCATACGTAACACATGTCCTAGCCATCTCATTCAGTCGATGTAACTCCACAGCCTCGTCGATTGATTTCCCCTGCTTACCTAGAACTCGACGCCTAACCTCAATGTTGTTCACCTTATTATGCCACTTTACACCGGAAGTAGAGCGCAGGCACCTATGATCAAAGACAGCTAGTCTTTTCATGTCTTCCACTCTCAGTGGCCAGGTCTCACTACCATAAAGGAGGACGGAGCGGACTGATGAGCAGTACACCCGCCCTTTGGTCGATAGTCGAACATCTCGTCTACGCCAGAGTCGGCGTAAACTGGCAAACGCGAAACGAGCCCCCTGTGGTAGTAAGTAATTCCATATTAGTTCGTTTATTAGATATATCACACAGTGAAACACTATTATTTACTGAGTCCGTGTTAGGTGGTAGGTGTGTAATAGCGTGAGTCATATTCTGATTAGGCGTCGGTCGAGTGCTAGGTAAAGAGGGAGAGAAATCAATCAACGAGGTAGTGAAGTTACTTGGACTGAGACTGTTAGGACATGTGTTACGCATGCATTTCTAACCATCGCCTTTGTAAACCGACAGTCAAAGTTAGTTGACAGGGATCAATGTGGTACTCAAACCAAAACCAACGTGGCTTCACCGGTTAATCACATCCATAACATTTAGTTTAAACCAGCTAGCCAACCAGTCACGTAGGTAGGTGAAGACTGCTTGGAGGCTGGTTCGGGTCCACGGGGTATTGTAAGAACCAATGGCATCTGAAGACAATTTGTGATTTCGTTAGCTCAAAATCATCGTTCTCAATGATGGCTAACGCAGATGCATTCACTCTCTGTGATCATTTTTCATATCCAATGAAACTCTACTGTTCATCCGCAAGACTACTTATTCTTTTTACCTCCCTCACACTTTTGTCAATTACCTCTCACTCTGCTGTCTTTCATTGTGTAGTACATGGAGGAAAAGTGGTAACTCGAACTGCTGCAAATCCCGTGCAGAATTGTGTATTGAAAACAGTCAGTCGGTCCCATTTGGCTTGCGGTAATCCGTAAGATCTACATAGAGACACAATTCAAGAAATCACTTCAAAAAGGCAGTATGCAACCGGTTTTAAGCAGCTGTCTCCTGAGCTTTGCGGTTACAATTAACAATAATCCTCTTCATGCTTCAGATACTCAGTTAACTAAATCTTCACTATTCTTTCTTCTGCGTATTCCCGTTGATTTTAGTTACCATGAATTTCTTTTCTTCTCTACCTTGTATGTATGCTTTTATAAATTGTACCAACTTCAACTGATATATGCTTAGGATGTGGATCAGCGTTGAAAACTCATTTTACAGTTTATAGATGGTTGCCTTCAAATAAAAAGGACGAGAAAATAAGAGTCGTCAGCTTTCATCCGTCCACTGAAAAGGTGAATAAACTATTCGTCATGATTTACCATATTAAAACGCCCCTTCTGCAAACTTTTTACTTTTTACTTTACTTCGGCTATCTCCTACGGGAGGATGAGCCGGCTTCATGAACCATGAAGTTTCATGGGAATTGGGTACGAGTGATGTCCCCAGCATCGCTCGGCCTTTGTTTGAGAGTGCAGCTCTAGCCTTTACACAACCAAGTGTCACCTACAAGGCAGTACAGTAGGAGTGGAGTAGGGAGTCCACTATCCATTGCCAGCCGGTGACCGGAGTCCGGTTCATTCGCCTTTTTGAATGGGGCCAATCATCCAGGGCATCCAATAAGCCCTTTGTCCATACGTCTGCCGGTGAGCTCCGGTGAGCTTCATACGCCAGTCGTTGGAGGTTTGGAATCAGGGTTTAGCCATCTCCCCTAGACTGTCATCCAATGAACAGTCAACCCGGTGAAGAGCGCCGGGCATCTGCAAACCAACAAGTTAGCAGCAGAAACAGTCAACACAGACCGGACTTCTAGTAAACACAGAGAAAACGCAGGTGACGAAGGTCATCAACCAACAGCAACACCAGCAAGCATCAATCAATATCAACGGGATATAAATTTAAAGGAATTCACTACCCTAACTTATCTAGGTACTATTGTTTCAATTACAGACCAAAGCACGAATCAGAACCTCAAAACCAGGCTGAGTCAGAAAGGTGAGAGTGACCATCATCATCATTCCAGAATCAGTTTGGAAATCTTCTCCACCCAGTCAGCATAAAGAAAAAGATTTGGATTTTCAACACCTAGGTTAAGTAAGTCAGTTCTTCTATGTGCGTCAGAAATATAGCACATGCGTCACAAAAAAACAACTTCCAACAGCCAACTGCAGACTTTTAACAACAGCTTCCTCCCTTGGCTCCATACTAAACATTAGATAGCCAGAAGGAATTAGTGCTGAGACACTTTGCGAACAAGACAACCAAGAACCTGTTGCTCAACAAATATTCCGAAAAAAAGGAAACTATTGGTTGACATGTCACACTAAGACATCGCTTGAGTGGAACCCAGATGGGAAACCACGGGTTGAGGGTTTGTCTGAGGGTATTATTATTTCTTATTTAAACGCAGAAAAAACTTGGTACAATATGGCACCAATAAAGATGCGCTACACAATAATAATAATAAAACAACATAGATTAAAAGTAAAAAATATAAGTAGAGAACGGATAAAGAACTTCATCTGGAAGGACAACAGTCACACTTACAAGTTCAAATAGTATTCGTCAACTATCATCAGGAATCGAAGAAAGAAGGAAATCGCAACTCGTTCGCCATTGATTACGATTCTTGGCCATATCCGATAGCGTTTCAAGCTATCGATTTGAGCTATCTCTCGGACTCCAACTAGGGTGTGGTGACGCACCAACTGATGCTAATCTAGCACAAAAATCCTTCACGACACCACGTCATGGACTGACCACCCACCCCTCCACCTTTTCTATCTCGCCCCAGGGCCAGTGAACAGAGACCTATACGGAAGCCTCTGGGATGACATTCGCAGTACATGTCCAAGCCACTGGAGCCGGTGTTTCCAGATGACGACACTCAATAAATGGTGATCGCCACTGTGTTCAAACGCACGCCGCCGAACCTCAGAATTATCCACGCGATGACGCTATCGAACGCAAGCAATCCTGCGGAGACAGTGATGATCGAACACGCAGAGGGTGAGGGTGACATGAAGGAGACCATGTAAGGAGGAGATGAGGGCCTATGGGCAGTCATGAGACTGCAGAGATCAAGACAAAGTGGAGATGTGCTGTTGAAGCCCCAAGCGAATGATAACAATAATATCTGGTTAACAAAAACCTTACTGGTTGATGTGAGTAGTATTCAACACCTCATACCAATCAATTGAACAATAGCATGCACATCCGCATGAACAAAACAAGTAAGAAAAAAAGTAAATTAAACACCAAAACATATTGAAGTAATGCAACTGACCTGCACAGAATGCAACATTGAATATGCGTACAGTTCCTCCAAAACTAGAAATATTTACAATTAATCCAGTAGGTAACTGATTAGTGGTACTAGTAGTCGTCGTTGTCGTCGTCGTCGTCGTCGTGGTATTGATTAATGGTGTACCACTAGCCAAATGATGATTACACACATTCACTGAATCTTTTGAACAATTTAATGATCCTTCACGACATTTAATCATCATACGTGTAGCTAATACATTGCATATATAGGCATTACGTAAACCAACACGATTCACCAAGTCCCATTCTTCACCTGGACCATTTTTATACTCCCAATAAGGTGATTTACTGACCAGTAGTAAATGATCGATTGCACTAAAAGCACAATTAACAAATATATCTAATCGTCCACATTGTTCTTTATGAATACGTGAAAATAATCCAGCGACTTGTGTATCATCAGAATGATCTACAGCTACAGGGATGGCTTTCTAAGAACAAAGAAATAAAGAGGATAAACATAAGAAGTTAAACTATGAATACACAGCATGTACACCATGTAACAGTTAGTGGCTAATAGTAGAATTTAAGAAATTACACAGCTGTGAGCCATGGCCATTGAAAGTGAAAGACATTAAAGGCTCAGGTAGCTGTCTTTGATCATACGTGTCTGCGTCTGTCTGTCTCCAGTGTTAGGTGATAGGTGTAACAGTGTGAGTCATATTCAGGTTAGACACCGGTCGAGTGTTAGGTAAGAAGGACGAATCAATCGACGAGGTGGTGAAGTTACGTCCATTGCAACACTCACACTGTACAGTCATGACTCATTTTAGTTTAGGTATTTGATAGAGAAAGCAGTACACTGACAAGGAGTCATCAAACTCAGTTTCGTATATGTTTGGACCTGACACTAGCGCATATTCTGAACAATTCTCTGTTGAGTAATATTATTGTTAATACTGCTCAGTACAAAGAACGAAGTTCAGATTTTCGACACCAATGTTAAGTTATTCAGTTCTTCTATATGGTGAGTCACGAAAAGCATTTCCAACAGACAGTTTCAGACTTTTATCAACAGCTGTCTTTCCTGGTTCTATACTGAAGTTTAGAAGGCTGGCTGACCAAAAAGAGTTAGCAACAAGAAACTATGGGAAGCAGCCAGTCAGGAATAAATTCCTCCAGAAATATGTAGAAGAAAGGGAAGATGGATAGGACTCACGTTGAGGAGACCGTCGAGTGACATCGCATTCCAGGCCCTCAAGCAGAACCCGAATAGGTAACAACGAGTTTGCCGTCCGAGTGTGATATGATGGAGACAATGTGGGAAGAAGATGAAAGCTAACGGACCAGCTAAAGACAACTGCAGAGAACAAGGTGAAGTGAAGATGTGTTGTTAAGGGCTTATTTTCCACTCGGAACCCAAGGGAATAATAGTTATTATCATTATTTCCTTTAATTCCTAGAGGAACATAGGACTTCAGATGCGCGGCTCCATTGCTTTCGGTTTTCTGCCAACTGTTTCACCCCTCTCCAAGTCTGCCCACATGCTTTCATCTCCTCTTCACATGACCTCCTCCAAGTCACCCTCGAACTGACGACCAACTCGCTGCTTCCCTTTCGGGTTCCACTCGAGGGCTTGTCTAATGGTGTCACTTGATGGTTTCCTCAGAGTATGGCCAATCCATCTCCATTTCTTCGTGCCTATTTGTTTCACAATCGGTTCCTAGTTGGGTCGCTCATTGCCAGAGATCCCTGTTGCTGATCTTTTCTGGCCATCTGATCTTGAGTATTGAGCGAAGACAACTGTTAATGAAGGTCTGTAAGTGGTTGAAGAGCTCTTTATGACGCGCCAAGTCTCTGATCCGTATAGTAAGTAGCACTGAGTGACTTCACATTGGAGTTGAAAATCAGGATCTTATTTTTCATTCTGAGTGCTGTTGACCTCCACACAGACTTAAGAGTAATGAAAGCTTGTCTTGCTTTTTCAACGATCCTCGCTTTGATATCCTCATCAGTTCTGTCGGTCTGTAGTTGAAACGATGCTTCCCAGGTAGGTAAAGGAGGTTGTTTCTTTCAGGTTCCTCCCATTTATGCTGGCTGGTTGTTGTCTGTTGTTGCTGCTGCTGTTGGTGTTGGCCAGGAATCTTCATCACCTCCGTTTTCCCTACGTTCACCTGAAGTCCTATTTTTGATGCTTTTTCTGCCAACTTGTTGCTTTTCACTTGCATATCTTCCAGTTTGTGGGAAATCAGACATAAATCATCGGCGAAGTCCAGATTCTCCAAGATTTTTGTGTGAGGGAATAATAGTAATAGTAATAATTTTAACAAGTGAAAAGCTATTGCAAACGATCAAATCATTCGTATAGACAACCATTTTTGCTTGAATCTCAACTTGTTTATCAGAAAATTATCATATATCTACGCAGCTTTATACATTCGAGTTCCATCACTACTCTCTTATCCTTAATTCTCACCTTTAACAAGTATATTTCTCTTCTTAATTCAACTAGATATTTAGTTCATCCAGCGCATTCACTTCTATCACTCTCTATCAATACTTAATTGATTTGAAACCCCCTATCCATCTACTGAAGTTCATGTAGTCAGAAAATACCATCTACTGTAATATAATTGCTTACGTAATGTATAATTGACAAACTAGTGTAAGTTTTAGAAAATATATACTCAGGAGGTTTTTGATGAAAACTTACTCCACCAGCAGCATTAATAATATGAGCAGTATCATAAAGACTTCCACCACCTTTGGCACCTTCAGATGACAATGTTCTTCCAGTAATGTAAACAGTAGCTCCTGCTTTTCCAAGACCAATTGCAATACCTTGACCTACACCACGACTAGCTCCAGTAACTACACAAACATATCCAGAAAGATTTGAAGACATTTCAACCTTCTTTGGTTTAGTTTAAAAATGTTGATGGCTGTTTTTTTTGTTTTCCTTTTTAACCAAAATGTCTACGTCTTTTTATCGAGAATTTAAAGTGTAAAATACACCTTAGTTGAGATGATAATCTAAAATACAAGAGACAAATGACGATAGTAAGTAAGTACACAGAATAGTATTCACATGAGTTGATAGACAAGTATAACTTTTAACAATAAACAATTATAGTGACAACATTTCATGGACATATATTTACTTTCAATTTCACTTTAAAAAGAATCAAATCATGATACCAGAATTTTTGTATTATGTCGTCTTAGGGCATTTCTTAAAATTCTGTGCAAATAACGAGTGATGGTGCATCGGTGGCACAATAGTAGAATACTCACCAACCACGCCATATGTGGTCCGGGGTTTGATCCCCGGCCACCGATGCAGTCCTTTACCTCACCAAGCCAGTAATACGACTGGTAAAGATGAAGGTTAGGCATAAGGCAGGCTAGCAACCCAATCCCGTAAAAATAAATACTATTGCTATCGAAACTTCAAACCTCTAGCTTGAAGCCCTATGTTCCACTGGGACAATAAAGGAATAAAAAAACGAGTGATGATATCTTTTCTGGTATTTGTCCAGTTTTGCTTGCTAATAGGACTGACCCTCAAAAAATGACTTCGCTAGAAAAAGTGGTATTGCAGTGCGATGACTAACCTTTCAAGATGTTTGTATGTATGCATACAAGCACAACCCGGCTACGAGAAACTGCGTTCACTGAATTAATTAAACACAATAATTGTAGGTGAGCGCTAATACCTGGTGGGTAAATATTCTGCTATATTAGAAATACAATACGAATATTTTATTTCAATAAACTGCCACAAATACGAAACTCTTAGATGACAAAAGATGCATACGATATCTACAGTGTTAGCTGTGAAGTTGCCTGCAAAAGTATATCGATGGTTGCTAAACATCATCGACCTAAACACCATTTTATTTAACAAACGATGCCTGATATTGTCACTATTTACCACATCGTGTGAGTAATTTAACACAAGCACCTACATTAAAATTCCTAATATTTCTATAACTACTTTCAGAGGTTATGTATCACAGCTGTTGCACATTGCATCGATCCTTTAATGGATAACTAGAGAGCAAATCACTGCTAATAATGATTTCAGTTAGCGAATGCCAAACAAGCCTTTTGTGTCTACCATGACATTCCGTTAGCAATAAATTCATTCCGGGTCAATGGAAATTTCGAACTAAGTGAAGTTGTTAACATACTTAACTAGTTCACTTCCTACTCTTAAACTACGAGTCGAATCAGACCAACCACACAGCAACATTTTGAATTTGGCAGGGATGAGTCTCATACCAAACATCTTTGGAGTTTTGTTCGCGGTAATCAATTAAAAAGACTATCTCACCTGTGTATTCTAATTAGGCGAGTCAGGTTCCCAGTAACAAATCAATTCCTGAGACATTCAATTCAAGTGAAATCACGTCTGCTCTGAAATTCTGAATCCCCAACAAATCTCCATAAGCTTCTGTTAGGTTGTGTGAATTCTGTCAAACTTCCTAGATTAGTATAATATAATCGCTTCAGAATCAGATCCTGTTAATACACCATTCAGTCAGTGAAATTAAATGTCATTATTCAGGTCAAGATATATGGCGTACGCTGGAAGTCGTCAAGTATGTTTATATTCTAGGACCTATCGAATTAAAAAGATTTGGTTAATACACCTTCAAACGCGTTTGGATCTTGCAAGTTTGTCCGAAATTTTTTCGAAATGTATTGAGTCTTAGACGACTATAATAATCCAGCCAATCCACACTTTAATACACATTTATAACTGGACCAATGATGGCATGTGACTATCAACTCACCTATTACATACACCAAATAGTGAAACAGCTTTATTCACTGGGTGATGATTCAAACACAATTTACTGGTCACGATTACAACAACTATAACTTTACAACTTCGAAACTTTGTCTTTACATTACTCGTTCTCGTCCAACTGAGAACACATTCAACAGGAACAATTTAACACCTGCCCTGGAAATTGGGAAAGTTCCTTCACCCTTACGACAAATGAAGAGAGAAACGATAATTCAAAAAACTAAGCTTCGAAGTTTTAGAGTTACAGTTGATATGACTATAAACAAGCGAGTGTGTTCGAAACTTCACCCAGTAAATAATCCTATTTTACTGTGTGACTGATGCACATTCAGTCATCACACCAAGATTTACAGGCTTTGGTAAACATTTGCATAATCAACTATCTACACCAATCTATGGAAACTATCCAACGACCATATACACTCTAACTTGCAGCTTAGTTAATATAGACAATAGTTTATCACCCATATCCTCAAACACTTGTGAAGTTGAGAAGTGAAGGACAGTTGATTTGTCTCACTTTAGATTAGAGACGACTTTCACAACCATGACAAAAATTAGAATTTCTTTACAAAACGAAATAAACTCGTTTCTTCATTATTCAGCATGGAAAAAAGTACTTCTTTGGAGAGACCTCACTGTCAAGCTATACAGTCACATTTATATTATTAATCAAGGCTTGAAAATGAAATAAATGAACATCCTCTCCATACACATCTCTCTCCTTGTATCTCATCAGGTAGAACTACAAACAATTATAGAAGGCTGTATGCTAGAGTGACTACGAACAAAATTTCTACAATACCTTATTTAGCTCATATTTTATTTGATGAGAAAAGTTATACACAAAAAATTACTAACTCATTAAGGAACTCCGAGTAAACAGGCTTTTTTCTGACTGTTACACCGACGTTAATATCTCCTCTCAATTTAATGCTATATTCATTTCTTACTGAACAATATTATTTATGTAAATTATTACTCTGCAATGAGAAACTTAGATGCAATATTGCATTATATGCTGAAAATTCCATATTAATACCAAAAATACCGTTTGGAGTAAAGCTATTATTGTTATTCAAGAAATACCTCCTCACTAAACACAACCTCTTTTTTCATCAAGTTGGAAAACCAGTAATTATGTCCTCACTAAGCTAGTTTAGGTGATGGTCGAATGTAAGCAAATAAAACTGACCATACAACTGTTTAGTCAACAATAACTGAACCTGAAAAGTTACCAGTTTTATCCTTGTGTGAAAAATTTCCATCCAAGTTATTGCAATTAATTCACAAAACTGAGGAGCTGTGAGAGTACATCATTTTACCACACAAAGAAACACTTTCATTGGCAATAAAAGAACAAAAATAGGGCACAGTATATTTAGTGAAATCAGACAGCGTAACATAATGGAGCCTTTAAAGTAACACACATACAGCAAGTACTTAGTACTAAAAAACCAAATTAATACGGAAAATGAGTAAATGACTGCAAAATAACTTGGAAACCAATGGATGCCATTATTGGGAACGTTATGTCCCACCTAGCATTGACTTCAGGCGCAATGCCTAATAAAAACCGCAATGGAGACTTAAAGAGAATAGAAAAAAACGCTATAAAGCTTTGGAGTTTATCAATTCTAACCTACTTGAGATCCAAACAAAATGGTGCGCTCTCAAGGTCAATACAGTGACCGATACAAGCTATAGAAACAAACAACCCACAGACTTTCAACATATAGCATTTTTGACCAGCATGCATGTAAGATGCTGATTTCTAGGTTAACGATTCTCACAGTTTCTCAAGAGCGGCCAATTTTAGTTTACTTTTGCTGAACTTAGTGCTCTGATTCAGACAGAGATTTTTCTGAGGATATCATATAGTCCTAAAAAATTTTCGTGTATATAACAGAAGGAAAAAACGTGTTTGAGTAACTTGATATGATTATGAGTGGCAATATTTTGTGCCCGAAACTCCATCAGTTAATATTACTGAGTGATTTATCGAGATAAAATCTTATCCATAACGGAGTTATACTCCACCACAGAGCACAAGTTTTGTACTTATATCAAATTTCAAGATACTCAAGGACTACAACCGTGATGTCATTTTATCTCAAATACTGGTATTCATTTTAATTGCAGGGGTTATTCTCAAGGTCCTCAAATAAGCTCAGTCTACACGTAGTACACTATCATATTAAGCCAAGGGTGCTGTTCACAACAAAGTTATATAAGAGAATTGACTTCAAGCTTTATTTTTCCCATATATCTGTATTACACTCATGTGATGTCTGGGTTTTTTTTAATGCGAAGACAATATTTCTATATCTCTTTATGTGCTACACAAACAGACTTTATAGCAGACTGTTCCGACTGACTCTAATGTCAGAAAGAACAACCAAACTGTAAGTCCATTATACATCAAATTATGTGTAATTTATATAATAACTTATCCATGCCTGTACAATTGGTATGTTCCTGCATAAACAAGAAGGAATATATTATTATTATTAAAACAATATTTATGCATGCCTATACAATTGGTGTACCCTACATAGCTAGGGAAAAAAATGTACTTTATTATATTATCTTTACTAAATATGCTTATTAATAATATGTGTAAATTATCGAATTGATGATGCCTGTAAACTGGCGTCCCTCATGTAAAAAATGAGAATATATATTGTTATTATTATATTAAGTTTGAGGATAACAGTCAGTGAACCAGTGGTTAGCATCACCGCTCTTCTAAAATCCTTGGATTCTAATCAGTTGATTCGAACGGTTATCCTCTATCTTCGTCTCATCACAATCTTAAGGAAATATTTTAATTATGCGAGTAAATATTAGCCTAAATGAGGTGGTAATTACTTGATAGAGACTTTAACAAAGTAGCAGGCAAATTTCGTTCCTGTCTTTTCTCAGTACCTATGGATGTCCACAGGCCATTCATTGTTTTGGTGTTCAATTTACAAAAAGTAGCTAACTTGGATGACATTCTACTAGTCACAGGAACTGCAAGACTGACGCAATGTGTTATTTTATTATCTGTATCCTTACTCAAACAGCTCAGATTAAACACTAAAGGA